TCTCGTCCACCCATCGCTCGCGGCACGCGGTGGGGGTGGGGGGGGTGGGGGGGCGGTGCCTGGAGGCAAGGGTAACGCACGGGGGCTGCAGGGAAGTGGTGCTGGTCGCTTGGGGAGCGGCGCGGGGCCCACGGCGCCACGGGGGGCAATCCCGCAGGCCGTAGTTTGCCCACGCTTGTGCTATAGCCTAGGCTACCAGTTACTTCTCCGTCCCTTTGTTGAACTAATTTCAGCATGTTATAATGACTTGTCTGTCTGTAACACCTTCCTGAAACTATACATGGGGAATGTGTCACTGAAAAGCAGCCACCTCTGGGGTGGAACATAGCAGCTGTTTCGCAACATAGAACAATGCTACGCAACAGTGTAGGGTGGGAAATAGAGCAGGATCAAATTACAGCTGCAGTTGGATTTCGGAAGGCAGAATGTAATGACTGAAGTTGGAATTTGACCAGGACACTGGTGTTATTATCCCTGCTCTCACAGAAAGTGCCAGGAGACTCTCTAAGGAGCACATGTAGTTGGAGGCTGGTTTCAAGCTGGGTCTTCCAGCACCATAGTGCCCCATGGCATCATGAAAGGCATTGGGTTCAGTAGAGTGCCCTCCACTGACTACCAATGCCCCTTCCTGCAGCACCCTGGAGGAACTGACCAGACAGTGCCGGTGCTAGCCCATAGGGGACCCTTAGCAAGTATATCTCCCCCCACCCCACCAATACTAAACCAGGCAAGTTCTTATAATAAAAAGTGAATAGGGGGCCCCTTGAACTGCTCGGGGTCCCAAGCAATTGCTTAGTCTGCTAATGCCTAGCGCCGGTTCTGTGACCAGACCTGGCTCTGTTTTGACCTTGGATGTAGCACCGTGTTGGGGCCAGATTCCGGTGTGACCACTCCTATTGTAGACCTGAGATTTAACTCACCCCCATACTGAACCAGACTTGGGTGAAATTCAGGGATTTCACCACTAAAATTAAGGAAAAAATGCTCCACGGCTGCTAAGGTGCCCCCACCTTAGGAATGCCCCAAGAAGAGTTATAACACCAGGGTTGTAAAGTAGAGACACCCAGGCGCTGGGAAGTTTAGGGAGGACACAAAAAGACCCCAAGAATGGGAAAAATAGATAAGATAAGCTCTGACCAGTGAATTTCTGCTGACCATCTGCACAAACAAAGAAGGTCATAAATAAGTTACAATTTGGGCATGAGAGATAAAATGTAAAAAGAGTTGAGCAGGGAGGAGAAAACATAGGTGCCAGTGCGTGATTGGTTAAATTTTGTTACCTGGGGTACTGAATAATGTGATAGGTTTAGTGAAGTTAAAGGTGGTAGCTAGTTTTACCTATATAATGTAACCAAAAAACCCAGTGCTCTTTGGGAACCATCTCCAGACTGGAATTTAACATCAAGCTGCTAGAACTCTGACCTCTCTGCACGACCGTGACGTGCAAAGGCATCACTGGAACCCCCAGACGAGAGAATCCTGACTGGCCATCGGGTGAATTTTGTCTGTATATTGGAAGTGGTGAGCATAAGAAATTTGTTTAGTAAATGTATTTTGTGTGCAGCTGTGTAAGGGTCTCACTGAAAAAAGGTTGGGCAGACCCATAAAGCCCTAAGCCCCAAAGAAAAGGGGGGGTACTTAAATTGACCAGGTTTCTTCCTGAGCCCAGTGGATAAGAATAGGTGCCTTATATCCTGAGCCCTCAGAAGGAAAAGGGTGTGGGGTGCCTAAATTGATTGGGTCACGCCTTGAGCCCTCCGGAGGGTATAGACGAGGTGCCCTAGATTTTTTGCAGGTAACATATAGGACCACTTACCACACTGGAGCTGGTTTCTTTATGTGTCATGGTAGGACTGGTTTTCATGCCACCCAGTGGGACATCCTGGCCCCTTATAGCCCAGCGACCAGTTCCTAGCATCACGTTGGGGCTGGCTTCAGGACTGCATGGGGCCAATTCCAGATGGGTCCGTTTTAGCTGGTCTGATCCAAACCAAAACCTGGAATCCAAATACTACTAAATTTGGGGAAAGTTTGGATACTGCTCCATATTTGCTTCTGGCTCCTTTCTCTTAACAAATCAAATCAACCTCCCAGAGCCGGAGGCTTCTAAGCTTTGAGACCAGCATGATGCAGATCCAGCTCAGACCTATGCCCGTTGGGCCCTGGTCTAGCTTTAGCATCATGTTGGGGCTGTTTTTGGCCTGCGATGGGGCCAACATCAGTGCTGGGGATTTATAAACTCCTGTCCCAGCCTGGCTTGGAAGCGCAAGGTTGAAGGCCAAATGCCTCCATTTTCTGAGCTGTGCCAACTACTATGGCCAACTTTCCAGCCATACACGCCAGAGGAAATTTTTGCACTTACTTAGAAATGGTTTGTTTTATTGTTCTGGCTAACTGAGCTCTGAACCCTCCAGGTAGAGCCTTGTAATGACGCAGGTCAGCATCTCCGTCAGACACCCGGACCATTCTATGGACTCGCTCTGAATGTCTCTATAAAACTGACATCTGCCCAAGGGGCCCCTGGAGCAGCAGTTGAAAAGCAATCGCTGTGCGCGCTGGTGGGCGGTGGGTTCTGCTGTCCGGTCCAAAGGAGAAAGGGATCCCAGCGGCAGACGGGCTCTGACACGGCTGAGCTGAGCTGCTAAGAGCTCTTTGGTGGGGATAGGGGAGAGCGAAGTAATTTTTCTCACACTAGCTTTGAGTGTAGAGGGTGACATCTGCGTGGTGACAGTAAATAGAAACGTCGCGTGCGAGTTGGGGTGCAGCATGTGTGTGTGAGTGTGTGTGTGTGTGTGTGTGTGTGTGCGTGTGTGTGTGTGCGCGCAGAGAAACTGTTCCATCTCAAGATGTTGTTGTAGAGGTTGCATACGAGCGAGCCCGCCTCCCCTTCCTCTCTCTGATCCCCTTTGCTGATGCACTGGAACTGACCTCGTTGAAACCGCTGTCCCCAGAGGCTGGCCTCTCTTCCGGGCTATCTGTTCTCAGAGCCAGCAGCGGCCTGACGAACCAGGTAGACGGAACAAAGCAATGCTGGGTGCCTGGGGGTACGGTCTTGTTTCCTGAGGCTAATTCTGTCATGTGAAAGGACCCTAGGCCCTCTAAAACCCCAGCCTCAGAAAATGCTGAGGGGGGCTATCACCATCAGGTCACAACCAGGAAACCATTGAGAATGTCGCCATGCAGTGCCAAGTACTAGGGTGAGGTTGCCTTGCCCAGCAGTTCTGAACCGATGGCTCATGGACTGACAGGCCTCAGGGAATCACAACCACCCTGCCCTTCCGACATGGCTAAATGGGATTGTGGCTAGGTGGGAGTGGGGTCCTTATATGGAAAAGGGAGTCCCATACGGCTGTAACCCCTGCTTGCCGGGAGTGGCACTCTAGCCCCTCTTGTGGTGGCTAGAGATTGATGAGCCTGCTCCAGCCTTGGCTAAGAGAGCTGCGTCTTGCAGCTCATGCATTTAGCTCCAGAGGTCCCTCCCAGGTTTGATCTCCACTGCCAATGCCCGTGTGGGGGTCAGGATTGCAAGGGGTGGCCATAGTGGGATTTCAGGCAATTCAGCTGGGATGCACTTCCCTGCCCAGGGGGAGTACGTAACCCCCTGCTCGCTCAGAGTGGCACTCTCTGCCCCTCTAATGGTGGGTAGGCCCTCGAGAGATTGCTGAGCCTGCTAAGAGAGGTGTGTCAAAATTTAGATCATGCATTGAGCTTCAGAGATCCCACGTTTGATCTCTGCTGCCTGTGTGGGTCGGCATTACATGGCAAACATGGTGAACCACCAATCTTGTCTTTAATGGAGGGCTCAGGACTCCTGGGTTCTATTGCTTGCTCCTTCGCTGACGTGCTTTATTAGGGTCAATTTAACCTCTCTGTGCCTCGGTTCCACTTTTGAAAATCAGTGGTTGTCACAACTCTGAATGCTTTTGAACACCTGGGGCTGGATCCTCAAAGGTATTTATGCACATAATTCCCACTGGAGTCAAATCCCTAAATACCTTTGAGGCTCTGGGTCCTGGCCCTTAGGTAGGATCCTAAACAGGAGCTGAGTTCTCTGGAGAATCCAGCCCCATCTGGAGGTGCTGAGTACTTGGAGATCTGGTCCTGAGCTCTTCTGAAAATCTTTCCCCAGGTTCTGCAGGGCATGGAACATGACTTGTTATTTGGAGAGGCCTGGCACATACTAAATAGAATAATAATGATAATGTTTGTAAAGCACTGTAAGATCCATGGATGAATAGGAGAGCTATATAGATGCCAAACATTGCTTTCCCTTCTTCCCTGCAGCAGGCAAGTCTGAAGCCAGCTGCATCGCTTGTAAAGCAGAAGGGAGCAGCACAAGATGTATACACACACACACACACGCTTTTTTTCTATGTGAGTGTCAAGATCAGAGTGTCAGGTATAAAATGCTGCCAGAGCCTGGTAGGCAAAAATTGACAAGGGAATCCAGTGTTATCTGGAACTGTTCTCTCCAGAGAGGCTGAAAATCTTTGATAGGTTCACTCCAGGGGGAAATAACTTTGGTGGATAAGAGGCGTTGATGTGTGTGAAGCAAAAGGAAACCCATGTGCATTCCACAGCAGCAGCAGGGTTTGAAACTGACATGTATTCTTCCCCCTCTCCCGCCCCACTCCCTGTTTATTTTATTTTCCCTTCTTTCAAAACAGCCCTGGGTCTCCCCGCTACTGGGAGTGTTAAAAAGAACCAAGTCACACCAGGGCCCTACAGCATTGTGTGAGTGGGGGCAGCAAAAACGGGGAAGACGGGGAGGGAGGGAGAATGTCAATAGGCAGATCTGAAAAGCAACCCTAGGAAATGACTGTGAGCTTGTCTACACTTGAAACACTCCCGCTGCAGAGCGGCAGCTGCGCCGCTGGAGCGCTTCCATGTAGACACTATCTACACCAATGGGAGGGGTTCTCTCATTGGCATAGTTAATCCACCCCACCCCCGAGAGGTGGTAGCTACGTCCACGGAGGAGTTCTTCTGTTGACCTAGTGCTGTCTTCATAGGGTCTTAGGTCGGCTTGACTGCACAGCTGAGGGTGTGGATTTTTCACACAGCTGAGCAACGTAGTTTTCTAGTGTAGACCAGGCCTATGCCGGGGGAGGGGGAGTGTAAAGTCTCCAGTGGCGCAGAGAAAACAGCTTCCATGAAGTCTCCCAGTTTGGAGAAGAGGGATGGAAAAATGTGAAAATTAAGCTGAATCCTGATTTTCTTCTTCTGATTAAACTCTCAAGCAATGGCCCAGTCAATGAGATGTTTGCATAACTCAAGGATCTCCCTCTCTCTCCATTCCTGCATACCTAGGGGCAGATTCTTTGCTGCATCTCCCCTGGAGAGCCACAGCACACCCCAGCTTCTGTGCTGCTGTGGGAGCCGAAACAGCCCCCAAAATAAGTCAGAGCAGCACCAGGGACTGGTCTCCCTAATGGCAGCCTCCTACCGAATCCCTGTAATGGCCGGCACCGTGGGCAAGCACTCTTCCACTCCTGATCAATCAGGGGCACACACTATGCGTTTGGTGATAGTGCAGGGCTGCTTATGTAACCCACTGGTGAGTGTGTGTTACAGGTCCCCCCGCTGTGCCAACCCACAGAGGCTTTGAGTTGTTCCAGCCCCCAGCTACAGGAGGGTGTCTCTTTAGCTCAAGCTGTAGCAGTTCATGTATTTAGCTTTGGAGGTCTCAGTTGCAGTCCCTGATGGATCACCCAAGGAGGTGGTCTTCACGCCGATAGTGGTCCTCCACTGTGTTGGGGGAATTCTTATTTGACCAGTTGCAGCTGCTTCAAGTCACCTCTGTACGCTGCAAGGAAAGGGTCAGGATTGCGAAGAGACCCATTCTTACACCAGGATTAACTCCGTTGCAATCAGCAGCGCTCCACCAGTGTGATATCGGGCTGAAGCAGGAGCAAATCAATCAGGAACCCGCCATTCCAGTCAGCACCCAGTTAAGCCTAGCCCAGGACCTTCGTCACAGCTTGCAAACAGGTGGGTGTAAATCAGAGCTTCTGAAGGTGTCAGCCTGCCCGCCTCTCTGTCCCAGAGCTGCTGCCTCTCTGCCAGGACGTAGCCGTCGGCCCCGATACGCCATTGTTCATCTGAAATTGGCACAGGGCCGGCAGCACTAGGTACGAGTGTACGACCAGGCACCGCAAAGGGATGTCACGAAGATAGTCATGGTGAGTCTGCAGGGACTGCAGGTGTATGTGTTTCCTTCTGGAGGAAGACTGATGGGATGTGTGCGTTGCTTATTTGTACCTGTTGGAACCATTATCAGCCTTGTATGTGGCAGGTTGTTTTCATCCGTCATAGCCCTGCATGTAGTTTTAAGGGCGAAGGCACCTGGTTAAAGTTTTGGGGGAGCAATAAGCCAACGCATATAAATGTTAATATGTGGCTAAGGCAACCGCCAATGATACAAGAGTCTGTGTTCAACTCCACATCAACGACACGCGTACGTCATCTTCTGTCCCAAACTGCTGCATAATATTCTACTGCAGCGAATACCAGTGCTAGCA